TAAAAAGAACCAGTTGCTGCAATACTACCTATATAAGCCCATTCACCTACTCGAGTTCAACAGGTTCAACCGGCCCCTTCACCTACTCGAGTTCAACAAGTTCAACTGGTTGAAGTTGCTGATAGATTTTTTTTTTATGAAAATTTGAAATTGGGAATATCATTTAGGTGATGTTTAGTGTTTGTTAGGGAAAGCAAATGGTGCCTTTTTTTGATATGAAAAAAATTACAAAAACACTTTTAAATAATGAGTTTTTGTATTTTTTTTCTTTTTGAGTTTTGTGATGCAGAGTGTTGTTAAAGAAATGTAGTTGCTATATCTCATAATCAAATTAACCTTCAACAACCATGGATTCAACCAGTAGAAATTAAAGAAACACAAACACAAATCATTTACCTATTAATCTTATAATAAACAAAAAGGCCAAGTAAATCCATCGAAGCTTCAAGAATTTTAAGTAATGGCTAGTTGTGTTGAGCATTTTCTTGTGTGAAAGAGCTTAGAATTCTCTTGAGGTTCCTATTGTAGACACATGGTCTCTTCAAGTTAACAATGTGACCTGCCTTCTTCCACTTAGTTAGTATACTCCTTTGTTTCAAGGGTTGAGTTCAACCGACTTTTTTTTTTTTTTTTTTTTTTTTTAATCCTGATAATTGTATTCAAAAGATTCAAAACATACATCCTAAGAGGGAGAGGATTCCTCTTCAATTAACACCCTCGGACAGACCCAAGGAAACAAAAACAAGCCGAAGAGAAAACTAAGGATTTTCAATCTTATACAAAAATCCAAACAAAAGCCTATAGAAAAACAAGGCTAAAAAAAAGGATACACATAAGGAGCTCAATAAGCCCAAGAGAGAAACTCCAATTTTGCACACCCCACCAATTAAACCCACACTAAAAAGACCAAGCCAGCCAAGCTTTATGATGCTATACAAAAAACTATGAGGCTACAGGCCCAATGCAGCTCCTATTACCCAGGCCACTACGATCCCTAGCACAATAAAGGCCCAAGGAGACGCCCTAAACTCGGGCTCAATCAACCTTTCCTTGCATGCCCAGCCTTCTCTCAAACTTAGTCTCTCATCACTTACCCATCAAAATGGCCATAGATTTTACATCAACATTCAACACTATGTTCTTCTTCTTCTTCTTGGCTCTCTAATGGCAGACATTTCAACTTGACATTTACGAACCAACTTCCTAAAACCTTCTTCAGACTCTAATCTTTTACCCCAGTTGAACTAAATCCCTAAAATTGAAAGAAAAAGAAATCACCCAAATTCCCAAATCTCAACCCATTACCATGTCGTCACTGTCACCCACTGTTGTCGCCATCTTACTGCCGTTGCCATCATTTGGCCAAGAGACTGCCCAAGAGGAAGATCAACAAGAAACAAAGAACCCTGAAAACCAAGTGACCAATCCCGAGATCGTAGCAACTGAAGTTCAAGAGAAATGATCAACCTTCCTTCTGCCTGCTCTAAAGAACCTCTTTTGTTTCTTTTCATTTGATGAAGCTCGTTAATCATCTATATACAAAAAAGACTTTTTATCATTTGTGATAGCACTTTTATAACTTAAATACTTCATGAAATGAATATATCTTTTTTAATCGTAAAAACTTGTAAAGCATTGTAAATAATAAGATTTTAAAAACTTGAGATTACGACACAAGTAATTCTTAAAGAAGAATGAGAATAATCTTATTAACGAAATTTACGAGTAAAATAAATTGCATAAGCTATAAAAGAGTTTGGAATTACTAATAATAAAGACACAAATGCTCAACATTCCAAGCTCATGGGACATTAGAACCATTAAGCCTTTTGAGGTGATATGTCCTAGGTTGTATCACTTTAGTGACTCGATATGGACCTTCATAATTAGGCCCCAATACCCCCGTGTTTAGTTCTTTTGTGCTGAGGAGGACTTTTAGCCTTCTGCTGGTAGGAAGTTATCCTTAACCGAGCTTTGTTGCGGTGTTTTTCAACCAAGTCCAGACTTGCACATATAAGTGTTTCATTGTCTGCTTCATTATAAAACTCTCTTCAAAGTGACTCAGTTCCTATTTCAACTAGAATCATTGCCTCGCATGCTAGCGAGAAAGATGTTTCTGAAGAAACGGTCCTTGAAGTTGTTCTATATGCCCATAGAGCTTCTGGGAGATCGTCGGCCCAATTGTGTATTGCTGAGCCAAGCTTGGCCTCCAAATGTGTGCTTAGTGGTTTTGTTGACAGCTTCAACTTGACTATTCGCTTGCAGCCTTGCTATTGAGGTAAATTTCTTATAAATCCCCAACTCTTCGCAAAACTGCTTAAACTCCTCATTGTCTAACTGTTTCCCATTATATGAGATAAGTGTATAAGGAATTCCATAACGGCACACTATTTTCTTGAAGAAGAAGTCTTTGAGTTTCTTTATGGTGATCGTGACCAAAGGTTCTGTCTCGACGCATTTAGTGAAATAATCCACTACGACCACAACATATTTGACGCCACCCTTACTGGTTGGCATATGACCGATGAGATCAATTCCCCACATAGCGAATTACCAAAGACTGGTCATCATTGTTAACTGGTGGGAGGGAGCTCATGGGATGTTTGCGAATCTCTGACACTTATCACACTTCTTCACAAAGTTGTAGGTGTCTTCATGAAGCAAAAACCAATAATATTCCTAGCGGATAATTTTATTGGCGAGAGATCATATGGTAGTGTGATTACCACATATCCCTTCATGTATCTCTCTCATGATGTAGTCTGCATCTTTATCTGTCACACATCGGATAAGGGGAGTGCTAAACCCTCGCTTATATAACTGATCTCTGATTAAGGTGTAACAAGCAACTCTAATCTATAGGAGTCTTGTTGTTAGAAAGAACCCCTTCTTTATCAAAGAGTTTCTTTAGCTCTGCTCTAGAAGAAGCCGAAGTGAATTCATTCCATGATGAGCAACGGGATTGACTAAGTGAATAACCTAACCATCTCAGTCGTTAAGATGTCAATCGGGACCCGGTTCACGTCAGCTTTACCCACCCTCCTCTTATTTTCACTTCCTTCCACTCGCCTTATAAGGACCTACCGGACTATCGGCTTTAGATAGTCATCTTCCTCTCTTGCTCCACTTTCACTACCCTTGACTATAGCAGCAAAGCTAGGAGATTCCTGAATAGTCTGCTGCTTTCCTTCATTTTCATAAGAATGGTGATGCATCTGTTCCACCTTATCTATATTTTCTTGGCATAGCACTGCATTTGATTCTTTGGGAAGAATGACATCATCTACAGATAGGTCTTCATTAGAAAGCATTTCAAATCTATTTGCTGCAGATTTTGTAGACCCTTTCATTTTACTGACATTTTCTATCATATCAGCTCTCTGCGTCATAAGCTATCTTCGTCAAAGCATCCGCGATAGAGTTGCTATCTCTCAGGATCTACCTGATCGTATAGTGCTTAAAGGGCTCGAGTGTGAGTGTGACCTTAGCTTTCTTCAAGTAACTGATTATATTATCTTCTTTGGCTTGATACTCTCTCGATATCTGATTAACCACCACTATGATGTCAATCATTTCTGACCCAATTTCTCTTGCTAGTAGCAAACCAGTAAATAGTTCTTTATACTTAGCCTCATTATTTGTGCTTTGAATCCGAACCTAAGGGCTCCATAAATGCGAGTTCCCTCAAGAGTTAATAAGCAAAAGACTAGCTCCAACTTTTTTTCTATTAGAAGACCCATCAGCGTAGAGACTCCATGTTGACAAGTTCCGAACAGTTTCTTGGATGACTTCACTGGCTGGCTATTCGGGTTCTCGATCTGGCTGATAAGATAACTCTAATATAAGTCAGGTACAACTTGCCCTTTAATTGCTGCTTTTGATCTATAATGTAGATCGAACTAACTTAATTCAATGGCCTGTTTAAGCAATTTACCCAAGGCCTCTAGTTTCCGAAGGACTTGTCTGAGTAGATAATTGGTTAATACATAGATGGTGTGGGCATGGAAGAAAGGTCTTAGCTTCTAAGAAGCGATAAACAAGACAAAAGCTAATCGTTATATTTATAGATACCTTGACTCAGCATCTAATAACCATTTGCTCGTGTAATATACTGGCTATTAAATTCTGCCTTCTTCCCAAATAAGAGTTGTACTGACTGCATACTGAGAGAAGAACAGGTAAAGAAACAATATTTCCTTGGGAAGTGACTTGGATAGAAGAGGTGGTTTTCCAAGATGCTCTTTTATGCTTTGGAAGGCTTGCTCACACTCTGGAGTCCATTAAAATTTCTTGTTGGCCTTGAGCGTATTGAAGAATGGCAAACAATGATCTATTACTCTTGATATGAAGTGACTGAAAGCTGTTATCCTCCCATTCAAGCTCTGAACTTGCTTACGATTTGCTGGAATTTTCATATCTAAAAGAGCTTGGATCTTCTCGGGGTTAACTTCAATTCCCCGATGGTTAATCATATACCCTAAGAATTTTCCTGAGGATACTCCAAATGAACACTTAAGAGGATTAAGTTTCATTTTATATCTCCGGAGTATATCGAAATTTCTACGAGGTGAACTATGTAATCTGAAGTGACATGTGACTTAACCAGCATGTCATCGACATAAACCTCCATTGTTTTCTCGATTTGCTTGGAAAACATATAGTTAACCAGACACTGGTAGGTTTGCCCCGAGATTTTTCAGACTGAAGACATGACTTTGTAGCCTAGTTAGTAAAAACGCGTATTATACGCGAATTGTACGGATAGCCGTATAATTCGCGTATAAAACGCCCGTATACGTATTTTCCAAAATTTGTCGAATTATACGCGTATTTTAAGGCCTCCCGAATTATTCGCGAATTATTGAAAAAAAAAAAACAAGAAGGTCACCCCCAAAACGACGTCGTTTTGTGGGTTTTTTACTAAAAATTAAAGCAGATCTCAGTCTTCAAGTCTTCACTTCTTCTTCGGTCTTCCTTACTTCAGCTCTTCTTCAGCTCTTCTTCCTCAAATCTTCACGTTTTCAGCTTTTCTTCATCTCTTGTTCTCTTTCCAAGCTTCAACTTCAAGTTCGGGACTTCAAGGTACACACTTAACACTTGTTCTCTTCTCTTTGGTGGATTGATGGATTTGTTATGGTAATGGATTGCTGGATTTGTTTGAAACGTGGTTCTTCTTGTTGAGGAGTATTGGTGTTTGATATTTCTGTTATTTTCTGACCGAACTTTTTCTATTTGGATTGTTTCGTTTACTGGGTAGTTAACCTTTTTTTGGGTATTGTATTTCTGGTATGATATGTTTTGCTGTTTGATGATTTGCTTATAATCCTGCATATTTTTTTGGGTATTGTATTTCTTGTATGATGTTGAATTCATAAATACAAGTCTTTGGGATTTTGTCTTCTCTGTTTTGCTCTGTTTGTAAGTAACCATCAGTTGTGAGAGGTTTTGTTTATGCGTATTGGTTTTTGTTATGTATTCTGCACTATTTGAGTGATTCCTTTGTTGGGGATCTTCCAAAGATTATTGGGTATAAGTTACTGAACCATGGAGAACAAGTGCGCAATCAAGAAAGATGTTACTGAACCAAGTTATAAAATTTAGAGAAAAATATTTCATTCTATATAGCAGAGTACCTTGGAAAATTTGGGAAGTTATATTGTTAAAAAAGAAGTGACTGATAATTAATGCTATACTGGAAATTGTATCCCATCAGAAAAAGTAGTCCAAACAGTTCATTTGATTTTGGCTGTATAAAGAAAGAGTTCTGAAAGATTTTCAAGACATATATATCTAATCTGATCCTTGAAAATGCTTTAGTTCCTTGAGAAAAAAGATTATTAGATTGCAGAAAAGCAGTGTTTGAGTAATGCTGTTGCAGACCATATGGTAAATGAGATCTTAAACGCAGTGCATTTGATCTAATGTTGTAGCAAAAATAATGATAAGTTGCATCTGTATACAAGACTGTAAACTCTTCTGATTCATCTTCACTTGCTGTTTCTGATTAAGCATAGAATTGGATTATTTCTTCAAGAAAATCTTGATAGCCACATTATTCATGTTTGCATTTTCGCAGCCTTGTTTTGAGAGAATAGAAGAATCAAAATTTTAGTTTTTATTTTTTAGTAATAATAATATATAGGAATATTGAAGTGTGTTGGGTTTCAAACTTTCATGTAGTGCATAATTGGATATATGGCTGGAAAAGCAAGAATATATCAGTACCAAACATCAAGTGGGGTCTGCCTCATAATTATTCAAAGTAGAGAAATTAAGATGATTAGATGGAAAAGCAAGAATATATCAGTACCCTCTGTATTATTCATGTGTATGTAGACATTGTCGATTACATAAACCCTTGCCCCTCTCATTTTTTCTTTGATTGCCTCATCTGCCTTATTTGTAAAAATCCATTAAAAATCAAGAAGACTTGGGAAATCAATTAAGCAACTTTATTTATGTGAAAGGGGACTATTTTGTTTTGTTCATGCATGTGAGAGGAAAAAATCACTTAGCACTTTGTGATTTTCTTTCACTCATAACAGCATCCTTATCTTTCCCATAAATTTCTATCACTTGATAGATGAATGGCTAGCTGGTGAATATTGTATTAGGAGAAATAATTGCAACCAATCACAAGTTGTATGATCAGATAATGCTCATTAATTTGTAGTGTGGGGATAGAGCTAAGGTCACTAGAAGTTGAAATTTTTATGCGCCTTTAGATGAGAAAGATATTGCAGATATAGCTGTATTTTTTTACTTATTTTTTGTCTCTTATGCGCATGAACCAAATCATACTTTTGTGGAAAATGTAATAGTCTTTTATTGCGAATTATTCTGAATAATGATATATTGAAAGTTGATTCTAATTTCTAAATTAAAGATGATTATTCTAAATACAATGCATAGGAAATAAAAAGATTACATGCTATAATGCGTAGGAAAGAAAAAAGATTATATGCTAACTTTTTTTCTTTTGTATTTGATGATGTTCTCTTTTATGTTCTTGTAAATACAGACTCAAATCAATATGGTACGAAAAAAAGATAAAATTTGGGAGCATGTTGAGGAGCTCCAAGGGAATAAATGGAAATGTAAATTTTGTCAAAAAGTATTTAGTGGTGGGGCTTACAGAATTAAAGCACACTTGTCGGGAATTACTGGCCATGATGTTGAGATTTGTAGTAAAGTCAATCATGAGACACAAGCATGTGCATTCTTAGCTATGTCTGGAAGTGGAAGTAACAAAAAATTAAAAAGTTCAGCCGGTTCTTCTACTGCTTTAAACTCTAATGATCATGAGGAGGAAACAGATTCACCATTTTCACTACTTTCTAAGGGTAGCCAAAGACGTCAAAGTCAAGCATCTTTACTAGAAATGAATAAGAAAAAAGACAAGGAGTTTGTTGATAAAATGCTTGCTAAGTGTTTTGTGGTGAACAATATTGCTTTTAATGTTGTTCAAACTGGTGCTTTTGGAGAATTTGTCAAGGCAGTGGCTGAATATGGTGCAGGATACAAGCTTCCATCTTATTCAACTCTTCGAACTAAGTTAATTCCAGAATCTAGAAAAGGTGTTGATGAGTATGTTGCTATGGTGAAGCATTCTTGGGATACATCTGGATCTGGTTGCACTATAATGTCTGATATATGGACTGATATAAGGCATCGATCTTTTATTAATCTTGTGGCATATTCACCTGGTGGTGCAGTGTTTATAAAATCATTGGATGTTTCTCGAGAAAGAAAAACTGGGATTTATCTGAAAGAAATTGTTGTTTCTGTTATTGAATCAATTGGACAAGAACATGTTGTGCAATTCATAACTGATAATGGTAGCAATTTCACATCTGCTGGTGACATGCTCATTGGATTGTATCCTCGAATGTATAAGACGAGGTGTGCTGCTCATGGAATTCAGCTTCTTTTGAAAGACATATATGAAGAAGTTAATTGGGTAAAAGTTGCCACAGATGAAGCAAGAATAATAGTTATGTTCATGACACGGTACACAGTTCTTCATGCAGCAATGAAAGAGTTCACCAAAGATAGACAATTGAGACAACCTTGTGCCACAAGATTTGCTTCAAATTTTTTAATGCTTCAATCTGTGTTGGATTTGGAGAATGAACTTCGACTCTTTGTTGCTTCATCTGAATGGAGGGGTTTTGATTATTGTAAGACCGAATCAGGTAAAAGGGTCACTGAAATTGTTCAGAGTGATTTTTGGGCTAGAGGAAGGGAGGTTATAAAAACCATTGAGCCATTGGTTCGAGTTCTTCGTTTGGTTGATGGTGATGGATCTACTGCTGGTTACTTATATGAAGCAATGACGAGGGCAAAAGTTGCAATCAAAGAAAGATGTAATAGTGAGGCAAGCAAGTATGAGAGAATTTGGGAATTGTTTGAGAATCGTCGGGTCAACAACATCATTCATCCTATACATGCTGTAGCTGCCTTTCTCAATCCAGCTTACTTTTGCTCACAAAATTTTAGAGAGGATAGGGAGATGAAAGATGGCATCAATTTCATTCATGAAAACTTGCTTCTAATAGAAGAAAAGCATCCATTTATGAGAAAGGTTCAGTTGTATCGTAGTAAGCTAGCTACCTTATTTACTGCAACGGCAAAAACGATGTTACAAACAAGTCATCCTCGTAAGTGTTTTAAAAAATTTCAATATCTTTTATGTACATTGCTTTTCTCTTTATATTCAAGAAAGTTTTTTATGTCATTTGCAGGAATATGGTGGGATTACAATGGGGATGATCTTCCTGTGCTCAAGAAGTATGCCATTCGAATTCTGAGTCAACCTTGTAGCGCTTCATCATGTGAGAGAAATTGGAGTGCCTTTGAAGCTGCTCAAACAAAAAAATGGAATACGTTGTCACATGAAATGCTAGACACACTTGTGTATGTGAGGATGAACACGGTGATGATGGATAAATTCTCTTCTACAATGAGTCGTGACTTGGAACCTATAGATCTTGAGAAATTGGGAGAGCTTCCAGACTATGAATATGAATCATATGGACGAAGATGCTAATTCCACACCAACAGTTGAGGGTTACGTGGATGACTTAATGGATAATGATGACACTGCTTGGTTGGACGATGCTCTTTTTTGAGTTATTATTGACTTATTGTTGTTTATGTACTTTGTGAGTTTTTGTTACAAACTATAATTTGAATATTTGTTGTATTATTTATGTATTTTATTTGTTTGGAGCTCTTATTCGACTTTGAATTTTGATTTTGTTATGACTTATGTGTTTAATTTGACACTATAGTTGAATCTTGGCTAAATATTGTGTTTGAGTCTGGAGACTATAATTTGAATATCAGTTATATATTGTGTATTTGTGTTATTGGTTAATTGAATACTTTGTATTTGAAATGTTATGTTGATTTTAACCAGGTAGTCCATAAAAGTATTAAAACTAAGATTGATATTTCCGTATTTTTCAAAACGTATTATTGACAATGTACCATATTAAACCCGTATATACTCGTACCGTATTTTTTCCGTATCCGAATTTTATGGCCGAATTTTTATAAACGTATTTTTTACCGTTTACCGTATTATACCCGTATAATTCCCGTACCATTTTTTTGCCGTACCCGTATTTACTAACTAGGATCTTAACCCTAATTTTCTTCCCTCTTCTATTAATCCACACTTCAAAAATAGATGAGTTCAAGAGTATGCTATTCTTCCAANCTTTACTTTCATTTGACTTGCCATGGTACTAACAACTTCATCCTCATTCTCCATTTCTTTGTATAGACACACTTGAACTCTCCACACATTTCTAAGGTACAAGTTTGTTGTGGGGTATTTGGAACTTGAAAAAAAAGTAGTGGTTTCATAAAATGGTTGCAAGAACTTGCAAATCCTCACCCCCCTGTGCAATTCTTCATCTGAAAGACAATTTTTATAATTGGGATCTATCAATGACAAATGAACAAACACAGGACGGTATATTAACACACTTTTAAGCATTAAATAAGTGGAATTCCATCTTGTGGGAACATCTATTCGCAATCCTTTTGAGCTTATCACACCAATTTGTGCAACAAATTCTCCAAACTTGATTCTTTTAGGCTCACTTCCTTTAACGTATTTCACACTTTCTCGGATCTTATGTAAAGTTGCGCTACTAACTTTTAACCCTTTTTGGACTATGAGATTCAAGATATATGCACAACATTGTACATGAAAAAAGAACCACCACATAATAAAACATTTTACACACAAAGTTGACTCTTTAAAATGTCTTCCATCTTATCATTATTACTTACATTGTCCAAAGTAAGAGAGAAGACTTTCTTTTCAATTCCCCAATCTTTTAAGAAACCATACACTGTTTATAATAAAAGAATCACTGAGTGTGAAGGAGGAATATGGCAAAAATTGAGAATTATACTTTGTAACTCCCAATTCTCATCAACATAGTGAGTCGTTAAAGAAATGTACTCGTCAATCTTACAAGAACTCCAAATATCAGAAGTCAAGCATATTCTACCCGGAACCCTCTCTAAAGCAAGCTTAATCTTTTCCTTCTCCCTCCTATATTTCTTTAAGCAATCCGCCTTAGCAGTGTTCCTAATATAAGACTTAATTTCATGATTCAAATACATATAGACATCCCTAGTTCCTTCATGCCCCACTATTGAATATGGGTAATTATGTTTTATGATTCCTATTACCATCTTCTCACGATAAATCTCTTAAGAAATCCTCAAACGTCACAATTTAGTATCATAATCCATCATTAATTGATCTACATTACTGATGGTACGTTTAAGAAAACCTTTCATATGACGTTTCAAATATATAGTCTCATGAGTGGAACTACCATATGCATAAGACTTACTACAAATCAAACACTTTACCTTCTCATTCCCTTTTTCATCTAGAAATGTTGTAAATTGACCTCAAACATCTTAAACTTTACATTTTTTTGGAAACAATACTAGCACTGGAAGGAGATTCAGCTACATTACAGCCACTTTCTATTACCTCATTAAGCATATCTGTAGACTCCTTCATGCCAATCTAAAGGACACAATAGAGTATTTTTATTCAATCAACCAACCATAACAATTCATCCAAAAGAATAAAAAACAAAACACTCCTAAATATTTCACAAGCAAACCAGCCCTACCAAATGGCTGGATTTTTCCAACTCAACACTCCTCAACTCAAAAACAGCAAAAAAACAGTAAGACACAAAAACAACACTAACAAAAAACAGTGAGCTCTAGGACAAACTAACTTGGGTATAATTCAGAGGGTTCTTTTGCAACTTAGTAAGCTTAGGGACAAACTAATTGTGCTGGCAAAATATAAGAAATAAATATCCATAAGAAATAAGAAATAAATATCCACAAAATAATAAATATCCATTCGACATTCACACAAAGAATAAATCAGTAGCAAAATTTAATATACCAGAGTGAGGAGTTGCTGCCTTACTAGGTTGCAATATGGTGACTGTGAGAGTGAGAGAGATTGAGAGTTGTTGGGTTGTAAACTTATAGTAATACGGTGAGTCAGCTGGCTTGACGACAGTGACTGTGAGAGTGAGATGGTGACGGCAACGACGTCAGAGTGAAAAAGAATGAGAGATTGAGCCACTTCAAACAGCTACAGCGTGAGAGTGATAGAGATTGAGTTGCGTGAGACAGCAACCGCTTCAGACTACGATGGCGTGAGACGATGAGAGTGAGAGAGATTGTTAGATTCTGAGTTGTTGCGTGAGACGGTGTAGCCGCGAGAGTGATTGCATGAGAGGTCCGTTAGAGTGAGAGAGATTGAGAGCTGTTGTTCGTCAGCGTAAGTTTGAGAGTTGTTGTGCTGCGTCATTGGCATGAGTTTCAGTTGATTTTTTTTTTTCACTTTAGGCTTAGGGTTTTGTTTTGTTTTTCCAAATTTCAATTTACGTGTCTTTTTTCATGGGCAGGTCTGGTACAGGTAGGTTTTTTATACGGGTAATTTCAAAGTACTCGTACTTGCCGTTGATGCGGGTACAAGTTGCTTGAGGATTGGGTACTCTTTTTACCAGGTCTATGCAATATCGCGTATAAGAGTAAAGTTATTGGCGCCACAATTATTTAATAGACCTTAATTATTTTTTCGAATTAACTTAATGTATCTTTTGTAAAATTAATATAATAAGGATTTGACTTTTTTTTAATCCAATTTTTTTCCACTCTAATCATTAAGCCCTAACTCAAAATTTTTTTTAATCATCAACTCTCACCGTGTTAGGTAAAAATGCGTTATTAGACACGAATTTAAGGGACAGCCGTCTATTCGCGTAAAAACGCGCGTATACGCTAGTTTATAAAAATCTTGCCGTATAATTGAGTATAATCAGGGTTCCATATAATTCAGTTTAATTCGCGAATTATTCAAACTTATCGCGAATTTTTGAAAAACAAAAAAAAAAAACAAAACTCTCACACCCCAAAAACGACGTTGTTTTGGTGGCGTTTATACAAAAAATAAAACGATCTGGTTTAGTTGTTCTTCTTCAGTTATTCGGCACGTCAGCAGCAGTTCTTCTTCCTCATTTTCTTAAGCTTTTCTCTCAATTCTCACGTTTTCAGCTTTCTTATCTCTGGTCCTCTTCTTCCAGGCTTCAATTCCAAGTCGGGACTTCACGGTACACCCTTTACATTGTTCTCTTCTCTTTGAATGTTAGGGTTGATGCTTGGGTTTGTGTTGGTGTGCTTGGTGTTGTGATTTGAGTAGTAGTAGACTAGTAGATAGGACGGGCTGGGGATGATGGATTGTTTGAAAATCATTTGAGAAATGATTGTGAGCGACTAAGAGTATATTTGTATTTGGTACAGTGGTTGGTAGTGAGGACTCTGGGCTTGATTGGTTGTCTAGTTGCACGAATGGTGAGGAGGAGTTGTGATAACTAGTGGTTTCTTTAGAGGGGCGTGAATAGGTAGCAAATGGGTTGGCTGGACGTGATTTGTCTATTTGCCTGTTTGGCTTCTGCGGATTCCTAGTTGGGAAGGGATGAACTTTATTTGGATTTCTTGTTCCCATCGAATTCTCTGGAAAAACATTTTTCCCTTAATGTTCAAGTCTTGCCCTCAGACTGTTTGTTAGCATCGCACATGTGAAGGCTGGTATAGGAAGTTCTTTTCTTAAAATAATTGATTAGGGCATTCAAACGTTTTTGAGAGGGCTTACAGTTTTTTGTGGAAGAATTAGCCGAGATTGCGGAAGCTGGATGAGACCAACCATGAGTACAAGAGAATTCACAGGTTGGGAAACTTGCGTTTCTTAAGGTTTAAGCTGTTTCATATTTTATACGTTTAGAAGTCATGTTTGTGACTGCAAATGAATATACAGATGTATTGAACACTGAACCTGGTGTGCTTGGTGTGCCTCTAGAAAAATTCGTACCTTGTTCAAGTTCATATCGATATATATTTTTATATAATGTGTAATGTGAAGGGTTGATGCATTTTAGTGTGTTTAG